TAACATTATAATAATTAATTGATAAACTAGTGTTTTCTGTATTTTTGGCTGCAATTACAAAGTCGACGACACTGACTCGTCATCTACAGAGTGAACGTGCATGTTTCATATGGATTACATAATCTAAAAATATTTGTTTTCCATTTGAATTGGTTCATTTAAAAGTAGACATTTTCTATAGATATATTTTTCATGTCTATGAGGCAAGCACAGAGTTTTGGTTAATTTTTGTTTTTTAACACACCCAAGTTCATAGAGACCTAGATGGCAGAAAGCACACCCTCTTTGCTTTCATTATTTTACAAAAGCACAACGTTTTGTTGTTATTGTGAGTGCACACAAATAAAAGTAGACTTTTCACAGATTTGAAAGATGTATTACTCTTATCTGTACAAGTAAAAATGACGGAGTATTTTAAGTTAAATGCAAATGATCGCATCGACGCCACCAATGGTTAGTCGACTATTAGGGGGAAGTCCTACTTTGTAGTTATTTAAGTAAGGAGGCAGCATGATTGTTTTATATTACATTTACACAACAGTTCAATAATTAGTTAATTAAGTTAATAAATAAAAATAATAATTAATAATAAAGTTAATATTGAGTAATTTGCATTTTAGACACAATCCTGTTCCTTTGTCTGGTTTTACTCTTATAATGGAAATGGTTATGTTTAGCTACTGTACATCAGGGCCGTTGTGCATCTTTGAGCCACACTCATGTGCTGAATGATTCATTGTTTTTGAACAGATCGTTTGAGTGAATTATTCAGTGACTTATTCATGAAGACAGAACTTGAAGGTCCTGAATGAATCTGCATTTTTAACATATATCGGTTGAATTAATGATTCAATGACTTACTCATGAAGTTGGTCACTTACAGTAATTACCGCATTCATCAGCATTTGTGAACAAATTGGTTACATGATTTCAATGACTCGCTCAAAGTTGGTCACTTACAGTATTTTGAATCAGCTGAATAAGTTCAATGACTCACTCATAATGATAGTCGCTTGTTGCCACCTACTGGCATAATAAAATTCTTTGATTTAATTCAGCCGGGTCAATATAGATCACGGACCTCTGGGAGTTCAGGCCAGTTGTTTTCAGCCTGTACACAGGAGAAGTACACAGTGCTCGCTCCGACAACTGTCATGGAATGTGATTTGTGACGAATAACGGAATCATCCGAGCGTGTGCATCCCTCACTTTTATAATGTCAGAGAATCGGGGGAATTTACTCATGTTATTTTGGAGAACTGCCACAGGGTTGACAGACTGTCAGGATTTCGACAGATCTCTTCTATCTGATATTACAATCCATCTCCCTCCGTCCTCCGCTTCCTGCCTCTCCAGCCATCTCGTGAGCGCTGACACTCCTATCACATTGGTAAATACTACTTTAATTGATACTCAGGTTGTTTTAGAATTAATGAGCTGGCACCCATGTGCTGATGTGAGCGAATAGAACATCTCTCTTTAAATTGCTTTGCAGCCTTTATTGCTCTCCAGAAATCATATTAGCCAAACCAATCTCATTTAAATCTTCCATTCCCTAATTAACCCTCAACGCCTTCTCATGCTGCTCGCAACTGCACTTTTTGTAGATTTTTAGATTAACTGTTAGATATTTGTGTCTCTGTGTAGAGTATATTGGATTTTTATTTTGATCAATCAGAAAACAGTTAAACTGAGAACAAAATCATCTTCATTATGTAAATGCCAAGTATTACATGAACAGATCAGATAGGACACAAAGTGGCGAATTGACTAAACAGCCTCTTCTGCATAAAAGTTCAGAGCAAACATCTGCATCTTATTCATTAACCACCCGCAATCCAGTTTAACCAGACACAGTCTGCTTTGGTTTACTGCTGCTTACGTATATGAATTAAGTCATTGGATGAATTCCAATTGGCATTTTTGCACTCTTGAAGGGAAGGGGATATTTTTAAAAGGGCCATTCTCTGGCCAAATTTGTCCATTTCCGGTTATGATTGAATAGCTACTTGAACAGAACTACTTGAATGGAGAAAGGCTCACCAACCTTGTATTTATTTGATTAAAAGTATGGTAAAAACAGTAATATTGTGAAATATTATTACAATTTAAAATATCTGTTTTCTATTTTAATGTGTTTTAAAATGCTGATTTGGTGCTAAAGAAACATTTCTTATTATGAATATTAAAAACAGTTTTGCTGCTTAATGTTTTTGTGGAAATGGCTCGAATTTTTTATGGGACTGAATGTGAAATTTCAGAAGAACAGCATTTGTTTGAAATGGAAAAAAATCTCACAACAGAGGCATCATAAAATAGGCTGCTTTTGCTCAAATCATGCAAAAAAGCTATTTTTAAGCTAGTTCAGTTAATGTGCCTTCAATAGTAGAAAATCTGCTGAAGCATCTATTTAAATGGCTATTGGCTCTCTTATTTGTAAGACTGGACTACTATCAATTCTTCTATCAGAAATCTGATTAGCTGTTTTAACAGTAATGTGCAATTCATAGTGAATTTTAATGTATTCATCCGAAGTGAAGCAAGTCTTTTCATAGAAGCAGCCTTTTATTCTTCGACCCAAGACATCTCTTTTGAATTTGAAAAAAAGTCCATTAATAACATTGCTTTTATAAATGCATATGTGTGTTTCTGTATTTAAGAGTGTGTAGCAGCTGTAAGCAAGTAGATATGACCCAAACACCACATGATGTTCAGAATAAACCCACAGTGATAAAACCGCTTCACAGTATAAGCAACCTGAATGATCCAGGGTCACCAGGGAATTTATAAATGTTCTGTTACAAATAATATGTTAGTAGCTGCAATATGTGAAAAGCTACTGAGAATATTGAAGGTACATGTGCTCCAGACTCTCGCAGTACATAATGTATTCAAGGTAGCATTCAGTTCTGTGCAGTATTCAACACTAAAAGCAGACTACAAACTAAATGTTTCAGATGTGGTGTATTTCTAAAAGTACACTCTAAAAAATGACAGTGTGTGACATTGGTTGGGGTATGCCTAATGCTGCAGTGGTGTGTAGAGAGCTGGACTGTGGAGAACCTGTAGATGCTCTGAGTCGTTTTGGACCAGGATTAGGACCAGTCTGGATGGATAATGTAGCCTGTAGTGGGTCAAAGCCTACACTAAAGGACACAGCAATTGGGTTGTTTTGACCCAGCGGTTGGGTTAAATGTTTAACCCAACGTTCTGGGTAGTAACCCAACCGCTGGGTCAAAACAACCCAATTGCTGGGTTTGTCCCTATTTTACCCAGCACTGGGTTGTATTTAACCCAGCATTTTTTAGAGTGTAGTCACTGTCAGTTGAGGCACGGAGTGACCTTTAAATATCAAGCTAAAGGCATCAAATAATTTTTTTTCTTTTTTTTTCTTTTTTGTATTATTATTTTTAAATATGTGTGATATCCTTGATTGGTAGATAAAAAAACAGGAGTCACATTTATAAAAACAATGACATGACTGCAAGCTTAGTTTAAAGTGTGCTTTAAAGGGAATGAGAAAAGCAAGAAAGTCAGTGGTTTATTTTTTAATTTTTTTTAATTTTGTTTTTTCCCGAGGGAATTTGAGTTTTTTTTCCTCATGCTGTTTATCCAAACTATCCTCCAAGTGCATTCTTAGCATTTTTCTATGCAGGCAATTTTGTTGTCACCAGTGGAGCTTTTATAGCACATGGTATGCGGTCCTGAATTGTGTTTGGGTTAGTATATTATTGCTACACTTGGATTTATGTGCTATTAGTTCGTTTATTCTAGATTCGAATGTGGAGGAAAAAACCCCAAAGCAAAACAAGATGTGAAAAAAAAAAAGCAATCGTCAGGACTGTTTCTAATTGCATTTGGTCTGGGTCTTAGTGATAACATCAATTCCATTATTTTCTGCATTTGAATTGCACCGCAGACTTGTCTTCAGCATCCTGTCTTTTAATTGGCTGAATGCAGGTACTGGATGTTTAGAGCAATGTGGGACCTGCACAAGGTAGAATGCATTGTGCCATTTCATTACCACTGTAAACAATAGGGGTATTCACCTAAATATATTTTTTACTCACTGTCATGTCGTTTCAAACCCCTTTTTTCTTTCATGGAACAAAAAAAAGAAGATATTTAAAAAAAATATCCTGACCAGTCTCTTTAACATAATAAACGATAACTGGGGTTGCTTCAAAATGACAAACCAGCACCATGTAAGTGTGTGTATGTGTGTTCAAGTTGGATTTTTCCAGTAATTCGGTTGATTTGGTTCACAGTGATTCGTTCATGATTTTTTCTGTGGTCCAAGTCACAAAGAGTTGACAAGATTATTACGTCAATATCACATTAAATTTTAATCTGTAGTCAAACAAAGTTATCAAATTACTTCAGAAGATTTTGAATATAGCTCCCAATTTGTATGGACTGTGATTATAATACTTATGTATGATACTTTTGTGTCCTTTTAGAATTTTGAAATCTGCAGTCCCCATTCATTGTAATTGCAGGCGACAAGTAAATTACTCAAAATTTCACCTTTTGTGTTCCATGAGAGTGAATAATTTTGGGGGGGGGGTGATCTGTCCCTTTAAAGTAGTTATTGTGTCAGTGTTAATCAATATAATAGACTTTTAAAAATATTCCAAACAGAGATCTTTTGTAACACGCACAGTTATGATTATATGTGAAGAAAGCAGAACACAATGACCTCAAAATAATTCTTTAACTGATTTAGAGGTTATACAAGAACCCCCGTATCCTACAATGTATTACATGAGCTGTTGGTTAGTCTCTCGTTGTCTGTATAATGCATGAGGCAAACAACTGCAATCTGTTCAAGAACAAGAAACACTTTTTGTTAATCATTCAGTATCCATGAGGAGTGTCTTGGAAAATGCAAATGCAAACCTGTTGTTTATTTTTTAAATAAAAGTATTATGATTACCTTTAATTTTTCTTTAATAAAAAAAAAATACACTACATAATGCAAGGTTATTTGTTTCCAACAGGGTCAAGTTGAAGGATGGTGTGGCATTTTTGGGAGCGAGGGCCAGCAACCCTGTTCAGTGGACAGTTAGTCAAGATGTCAGGAGCGAGGGACACAGAGTGGTCACTCTGCACTGTCGTAGGAAGGAAGCCAACTTCGGAAAAAGGTCAGTAACTGTTCAATCTTTCCGTTCTATTAACGCTTTTATTAACAAAGGGGAATTCTGAATCTAGAGACTACTGGTATCAAAGGCGCTATCGTCAGAAGGCTGCTGGTTACTTGAATGACCCAGAAGTTCAAAGTTTAAGATCGAAGCTTAAGGCAAAAACACTGCAAACCAAAAAGTGTTTTCTTCCCTTGCTCACATTTCTGTTCTCTTTGTAAAGTTTCGGCCAACAAAGATCCAAACGCATACACATATACAGTGACCTGCACCATACAGCCCTTTGGCCTTTAGCCCTCAAATATAAGCATCTCTGCCTAATGACTATTCTTCTAAACTCTTCTGCTTGTTTCATATACAGGCCCTCTGGTACTGACAGCATGTTTTTTTCAGAGTACTGCATTATATTATGAAGTGCTAGGAAATTACTTCACTACATTTCTCAGAAGCACTACAGTACTTCAAATGGTTTCAAACATGCAACTTTTCCTGCACTGAAAACCCTAATAAGTTGACTGAACTAAACTGATTGAGCGCTGACACATACAAAGAAGGTGTATTTTCTTCAACCGTTTGCACGATCAAAGTCATTGAAATTGCCCCGATAGTAGACATCATGTGTTTGTCGGCAATATACAGCTTTATTAAAGTAATTTCACGCTGTCCGTCTGCAAATGACAGCCACTTTCGGAGGAAAGCGGGAAAGATTTGAACAGAGAAACGAAGCGTGGCAGGTTTTGGATCGCATGAAATAATAAAAAGAAAAGAACAAAACCATATCGATAACAAAATGAGGCGATTAGGATGATTTTTGATGAGACTTGGGAGGAGGCTGTAAGGAACTCTAACGCATTTTAGCATGTGGCGTGTATGTGTGTTCATGCCTGTGAGTGTATATTACACAAATGTACGTGCATGTATTAAAAGGCTTTTGAGTGAAAACTGCAACCCAGTGTCACAAAAACACTTGTATATGTATTAAAGTTAATTTATCAACTTTGAAAAGTTTTTTTCCTAAATAAAAATAAGTACATTTATTCCCATTATGGTCAATAATTGTAATTGAAGCCATTTGTTGTCTGATAAAAAAAGAAAAAAGACCTTGCACTTAAAGGTTGAACACAGTATTAGAATTTTACAGTCAAGAAGACTACATTTGTGAAAATGATCTATTTTTTTTTAAAGGATTAATCATGATTTTGAGCTCACAACACTTGAAATCTTAAGTTTATGCATTTTGAAGGTAAATAAGTTAAATTAACTCATGTTTTTAAGTGACAGGGCCAAAATGCTAAATTTTAAGTAATGTTTAGTCAACATTACTTGATTGTTTAAGTAAAGACAACATTAGGGTTTACAGTGTGTAACAAGCTACCTTAACTTTATAGCTACTTTAAGCTACTAGTAGCTTTGTAGTTACTTCTTGGTGCTTTTTTTTTGGTGTCATTATTCATGTGATTAATTTGAGTCATTTATTGGTACTGAAATGCTGTTCATACTACACCTTTGTTATGTAAATTAGGGTGTTTCATCAGTTGTATTTAGTGTAAATGTATCTGCTTAAAGAGATAGCTCACCCACAATTAAAAATTCTGTCATCAATTACTCACCCTCATGTTGTTCCAAACCCACAGGATTTTTGTTCATCTTTGTAAGCAACGCATTGTGATGAACAGATTAACATTGATTAACCAGTGCTTAATTTGTAAATGAATATTTCCCGGAACAAAATCAGCAATTAAAAGCCATACATACAACTTAAATTTTCCCGGAACATACAGTGACGTCACTAAACAGTGATAGTGCAACTATAAGAACATCAGTTACACAAAAAATAAATAAATAAATAAAATAAATAAAAAGAACATCATTCACAAGTTTCTGAACAAACTTGTGTATTATTCCTTAACATATATACACGGCCTATGATTTTTTTATATGTGTAGCTTATATGATTATTATAAAACACCACTGCTGTGGAAAGTAATGGAAAGTAAACAAATTAAATCACTTGCATTGTCTAATCTTCAAGAAGAGCCCACAGTGCATTGAAACCCTTCTTGTCATCCTCCTCCCTACTGCGGACTTTGCTGCGTGTGTCAGTCGCATATCAGTGTCCTTTAGCAATCCAAGATCTAACGTACGTTTCTGGTTTAAATTTGCACAGGGGTGGTCCAACAAGGCATAGAAATAGCAGGGTTGAAATTGTCTTTATGTTAAGAGAGGCGCAGCTTGATGTGCATATCAAATTGATATGAGAGAAGCCTCATTTGCATTCTGCGCTGGAGATGGGAATTGTGTTGATGCACTTGAAAAGATCGTTGAGTTAATTTGAGACCTGTTGTCCATTACTGTCCTTATACTCTCTGTAAGCACGCAATACAACTCTGGGAGTGTTGATTCGAAAACGCTTGCAAAGGGACTCAACTTCACTTTCCCTGAATAACGGCCCAGTGTTTTCAGGCCAGTATTGGAGGTACAGCACTTTCAGTTCATCAATCATCCTGCTATATCTGGCTGTTTCTTCTCGTCCACCTATACACAGTAAACGTTCCTCTATATTCCTTGCAATAGCCTTGAAAAATTCCTTCTGATCGATCAGTCTGTCACTGGATTTTCCCGCATTCAACGTGACACCTTGGAAGCAGTTCTCTTGTATTGCCCTCTGGCTTACTGCTGTGTGTCGCCCAGGCTGATCTGACATAGTGTCAAACACTCGCATTTGTCTTACAATTGATTTGTGCGCATCAATTATCGTGCATTCTCTTTTTTGGAGTTCAACTGATAGTTCTGAAAGTTCTTGAAGAGCGTCAAACATGAGTCCCAAATTGTTAATGAAAGCATGAAAGGATATTCGCGTGATGAGACCAGTGTAGGTGCTCCGGGTCACACTGTCACGTGAGGCATCAGCAGCTGCTTCGCTGAAGTGCTTATAGAGACCGGGGTAATTGTTCCACACAGCCTCGACAGTTCTGAAGCTTGATGCGACCCACCGAATGTCTAGAATTCTCCCAATTTTGCGCAGCTGGATGTCTAGACTTTCTTCACACTCTTTCAGCTCCATTCTATTTTTGTTTGATGTGTGATAGAGCGATTAAAGTTTATTCATGAGGATTTTGAAATGATCAGTTGCTCCAATTGCTTTGAGCGTATCACTCGCAGCAAGCTCGAGTCTATGTGCCATACAATGCCAGCCGGTGACACCAGGGAACAGGGCCTGCATTCTAGCTACTACCCCACTTTTACATCCAAACATCACTGAGGCTCCATCAGTTGTTATGGCAATCAGTTGCTTGGAGGAATTCCTTTGGGAAGTCGTGGCCTAATGGTTAGAGAGTCGTTATGGGTTACCATACTTGGCCACATGTCACGTCACTTTCACTTTCACTTTGTAAAGGTGTGTCTCTTTAGACTGGACAGTAGGCTGTGAACAATTCCCTTGGCACTTAAATCATCCAGTTCCACTAGATCCACAAATATATCGGCAGGCGTGTCCATGTCTTGTAACTGCAGTCTCATGTAAATAATTAGGACACTTTTCTTGCTTAGACTTGTTGCCTCGTCAATAATAAGGCTAATTTTGGGGGCACTTTGCACAATTTTTTCGAACAATTTAGGTCTCATTTCAGTTGAGATGTGTTCCTGAATACTGGCGCACACTACATTAGAATGTAAGATACGCCCCATATCGATGCCATTTAACTCCTGGCTGTCAATTTCGTGTTCGAATCCATGGGCAGGTCTATTGCGTTTTGCCTCTTTGTACGCTGTTCGAAATACTCTAGCAGTCGTTTCGATCTGTTCAGACTGTGCGTTAACAACACTCTGTATAAGTGTATTCTGACTGGCCTTCTGCAAAATGCCTTCTGCTGCCATATGTGATTTAGTACGACTGTGCTCAAACACTTTTTTACAAAGTGCCCGTTGCTGTTTTTTTTTATCTGGAGCCATGGATGTCACCGCATAATTCACCCACTCAGATGCTAATTTCATCCCAACCGTTTAGTCAGGTCCAAGCGACCCCACACTCTGACAGGCCCAGTTTTTGATTTTGCATAATCAACCACAGATATACAACTTGCTTGTTCTTAAACTGTTCTTGAGACCAAATATCATTAATTTGATCGATGGAATTTTTTGACACCGACAACGATGTTGATGCCTCTTCCATTATTTCTGACTGACTTAACTCGCTTTGCTTCTGTCCCCCGCTGTCCTCATCCAGGGTTGCGGTTCTATCTTCACGGGATCTCTTTTCATCAGGCACACCATCAGCTTTGCTCGTGGTTGTAAATTTAAAAAATGAAAATGTTTAACTGTCTCTTCGACATTTTGTGCGCGAAATGATAAGCACCAACCAATGAGGGTGATTTTCAGCTTAAGAAAGCTGATTGGTCAAAAATATATGTTGAAGGCCAATAGCTAACAACCTCTAAATACATCTGCATAAACCCACTCAGCTGTGCTGGCTCTCTCACTCACTCACTCATTCACACACACACATACACTGTCACGTCACCATGCACATGTTAATGCCGAATCTTTTAAAATAAATACCAGAACACAAAACATGAAAATCTGACATATTCCGGAACAGGATCCGGAAGGATCCGGCTCAAATTAAGCACTGTGATTAACACACATGGAGCACATCAAATATAGTAAACTGAAGCTCAAAAGTGCATCTTTGACACACAAAAACAAATGGGGTGTTTTTTTGTACGTCAAGCAAGTACAATTCCGCTTCTCTTGACCATATTTGATGTACTGTATGCACGCGTGTTGATCAGTGTTTATTAATGTTGTGAATAAAAGCCTAAATTAAATCTGTTCATCATATAAAGTGATCACATCTCTTCAGAAGATTTGAATTAAACCCATCAATTCATTTGAATTTGTTTTACTTTATGCAAGTTTTAGTGTAATGGACTTTCAATAGATGGGCAGAAATGTCTCAGGTTTCATTAAACATAGGAATGACAGTAAATGATGATTTTTGGGTG